CTCCATGTCTCCCTGTGCCACATGGGGTGGCTGGGTCTCCCATCAGAGAAAGTGATCAGCTCTTAGCTCCTGATCCTTTTCCTACAAACCCCTGCCTCCCTCCCCCAATCACCCGGCATCTCTGTTCCTCCAACATCATTTTTAGGAAGCTCCTGAATTTCATTTCCCCGTGATCGTATTGAATTCTGAATCTTTTAAGGTGTGTCTCTCCTCATACCCCAAAGAAAATACTGGTGTTTTTCGGTCGGCTTGAAGCAAACACCACTTTGGGCCAGTTACCCATGTGTAAACTGGGAACACCACAGATTGCAGCAATGTTGCGGAGAGTTAATTATACACAGAGCCTTTGGGGGGTGTGCAGATACGCAAGCGCTCTGGATTTTCTTAGCATAATGCTATAGCATTACAATAATTCTGGCTTACAAATTATACCCCCGGCAAGAGGCATCCCATGGGAAAGCAGGTCTGACCTCATGGCCTGCTGAGAGGGAAATGAAAAAAAAGAAGTGGTGAAATAAAACTTTGCATTCTAAACTTTTAGAAGAGGCTCGTGTGCAACCCACATGTGGCAAGTAACCTTCCAGATCCTGCATAGGCTTTTCTTGTCCCAGGTGATCCAGCCTACTGCCAGGATCTGGCTACTCTACCTTCAGGAGACTGGAAAGCAGAGATCAGAAGGAGCTGGAGAAGATGTGTGGCTGGGTGGAAGGTGGGGCTTACAACGAAGATGCCCTTCCTTTTCAGGTTTTCTATTTGGGCCTACTCTCCATGTAGGATAATTAAGTGCTCACACGGCAGAAGGGTGGTTTAAGGGATGATTTGAGATATTGAAGTCAAAGGCTACTCAAGATAAACATCTAGGCTCGGTCAACTTCTGGCCTTCCCCACCATCCCTCAAAACACCAGAAGCATGAGTGCCCACAGATACACGCACACTCATTTAAAATGATTTCTGGTGAAATGATAGATAAATAAGTAGATCGCAGGCAATGCAAACAAAGGCTGTGTGGTTCGGCTGGGGTCACCTAGAGCGGCAGTTCTCAACCTGTGGGTCAAGACCCCTTTGGGGGTCGAATGACCCTTTGACAGGGATCGCCTGATTCATAATAGTAGCAAAATTACAGTGATAAAGTAGCAATGAAAATAATTTTATGATTGGGGGTCACCACAACATGAGGAACTGTATTAAAGTGTGGTGGCATTAGGAAGGCTGAGAACCACTGACCTAGAGGGTTTGGAGATTTTAATTGGTCCATTTGAGATGACAGTCCTGTCTGACCAAAGAGGGAAAAAGCAGGGGTGGGGGAGTGGGGAGGTGGTGGGGGTGTCCTTTGATCCTGAAGGGGAGTGTGCTGTCATTCTGATGCATCCACTGGGTGTGGTGGAGCGAGGGGTGGACCATCTCTAGAATAAGACTATCTATCATTGAAGCCCAGGCTCTGACACTTTCCCGCTGTCACCTCAGGCATGTGGCATGAGCTGTTGGTGGGGTCAACAGCTCTTTGTTCAAGAGTCTCAGACTGCAAGCTGAATTCCAGCTCTAGCAGGCCAAGGCTGTGTCCTGGTCAACAGAGCCCTTGAACTTACTGCCTGCTCTAACAGGACAGGAAAAATAGTCTTCAAGAGCCCAGGTTTGTGTAAATGGGCTATCAGTTTCATGATTTGGGCTATCATTTTAATAAATCAGCATGCTTAGAAAATGTCTCAGCGCTGAGGTACCCATACCTTGCTTAAGCCATATTTTGGCAGACCCTGCTTGCCTACCCCAATTCAGCCAAACCCTAGTGCGGTGGTTCTCAACCAGCCTAATGCTGCCACCCTTTAATACAGTTCCTCATGTGGTGGTGGTAAAATTATTTTCATTGCTACTTTATAACTGTAATTTTGCTACTGTTATGCATCGGACGACCCTGTGAAACAGTCATTCGACCACCAAAGGGGTCTCAACCCACAGGTTGAGAGCCGCTGCTGTGGTGGCAGCTGACTCATAATAGGGCAGTTCTTTCAGGAGCATACTGCCTGCGTTTGAATCCCAGGAAATACGACTCTGAATAAGTTATGTACTTCGTCCTTTCTTCTGCTCCTTACTCATTGCCAATGAATGAAAAACAGTGGGGAAGAACTGATGCATTTGAATTCTGGTGAAAGGACCATGGACTAGCTGAGGAATGAAGAGATTGTTATGTAAGAAGTACACCCAGAACACTCCTCAGAAGTGCAGATTGTGTCACCTGACCACACAAGGCCTGATACTAGTTCCTTAGTCTCCTCTCCTAATGTTGCATTTCCACAGCTCCTGTGGAGCGGCTGGTGGTTTTGAACTGCCGACCACTGGGCCCTTGTAATCTCAGCCGGCTCCCTGGTCTTAGGGGTTACAGGTTGGGCTTTCATTCCTGTGGTCGGCAGCTTCGCAGGGGGGAAAAGACTGGGCTTTCTACTGCCATCCCCAGCCACAGTCTGGGAAACCCACAGGGGTCGCTGTGAGTAAGCTTTGACTCAGTGGCAGTGAGACTTTGGACGTGGTATCAGGAGGGATCAGTCTCACTAGATGGCCTGGTGAAGTAGATCATTGGAAAAAGAGGAAGACCTCCCCTGAAGAAGATGGGTTGACCCAGTGGCATTAGAGATGGAGGAGATTGGGAGGATGGGTCCGGCCCTATCTCTGGGGCAGCAGCAAAGAAGCCCTCCTGCTGCAGTTTCCTCACTTTTGATCTGAAGTTGCAAAGAAACAGACTATGGAAATGCATCATTAGGAGACTAGGCCAAGGAGCTGGTACCTGGCCCCGTGTGATCAAACTTCTGAACCTGTTTCTCCATGTGCAAAACGAGGGCCCTGAATTACATGAAGCCTTGCCAGCCCCGACAACCTTTGCCATTAAAAGTCCCCAGAAAAGTGGGTGAAGGGAGACGTCAGACAGGGCAAGATATGGCAAAATAATAATTTATAAATTATCAAGGGCTCATGAGGGAGGGGGGAGGAAGGGGGAAAATGAGGAGCTGATGCCAGGGGCTTAAGTGGAGAGCAAATGTTTTGAGAATGATGAGGGCAATGAATGTACAAATGTGCTTTACA